ATGAACAAAAATTAGTTATGATGATGTTTAGAGCAGCACATGCTGTGATTGCCTGGGGGTGGAAAGAAAAAAAGAAATGGACCCTGGGAAAATGGTATGAATATATGTGGGAACAAGTACAATTGGAAATTATGGACATTATAAGAAATGAAAAACTATGGACAGAAAAGCAGAAGGAAATCAAAGAAAGATGGTCACCCTTTAAAAATTGGATACAAGAAGCTAAACCAGAAGACGATCACTGGGGGGAAAAACTAGATAGAATGCAACGATGGCTTGAATAAATGAAGAAGGACCAACTTGTCAACGGGGGGAGGGGGGAGGGTTAAGGGGTCGAAAGAAAAAATGTATTGAAACTAAAGCAATTTAAAGATAAATGTATTACAAATAGTTGTTAACAATACAATAAAGAAAAATTAAAAAAAATTGTCTGTCCATCCAATATGGACTATTCTGGCAGCAGCTGTTCTGCCTGCCAGCCAAAGTACTTGGATATAACTACAATTTCCCTACAATTTGGAGGTGTCAAGAATTGAACCAAGGATTTTGGTATGCAAATCAAATACACTACCATTGAATTCCAGTTCCTGGAAGACCTGTCTTGTTACTACTTGACTATATTGTTGTTGATGTTGATGTTCTTATGATTGATGCTGGTAATCCTAACCAAATGACTTCCTTCCATGGCCATACTCTCTCAGCCTACCTGTGCAAGAGGAAGATCACATTGTTAATATATCTTGCAGGTAAGTGAAGGCTGCGAATGCTCTAAATTGTGTTTTTCTTAAGCCTAGGCCAGTGATATCATTAGGCCAGGGATAACCTTCCATTTTTAGGTTGCTACGTACTTCTAGCATTCCTTGTCATTGAATCTTGGCTAGGATAAATGGATGTTGCAGTTCAAAAACAATTGGAGGGTCATACTTTGATCACCCCTGCATTAGATTATATTAGGAGTGATAAGCCTTAGTTTATCATAGATCCACATGCAGATCTCTGCACTACAATGAAGACAAATTGGATTGAGGCCACTATACTTTGAGAAAAGGTATAAAATACATAGTTCCCAGTTTGTTTTGTAGCCAATGTGAACATTTTGACCTCCAAATATTGTTGGATTGTGCTAAAACATCCAGAGAACTACATCTTTTCACTCTCACTTCGCTTGTGTATATGCATATTAAATCTGAGCAGTGAACCCAACTGTCCTTTTCCTTTTCCCGTAGTACATGACCACTTTGAAATTGGTCCATCATTTTAAAAACACTCTGTAGTTTTAGAAGAATATATATTTATTTGTGATTACCTATATCCTAACTTCACAATCCTAGTACTGTTGGCTTTCCAGTCAGCCATCCAATTTGCCCAGTCACTCATCTATCTCCCTCTCTGCTCCAAATACCAACAGTGAAGAGCAGATACACTTTCCTTGGCTTCTCAAATGGGTCAAGCATCACTGTCCCACTTAAAAGGAAGGTGCCTCTAATGCTGAAAATAGCAACCTTCTCAAGCCTCCACTAGTTGTTTGTTATGTATATAATTACTTGCTGTATGGTATGTGTGTATTGGTTAGCAATTTTACCTAACCTCTTTGTTGTGGGAAGGGCTGCAGACCATGTGATCAGAACTGGGCATGTTCAGGATTCAAGACTCCATTTCAGCCTTTAGACCAGGGGTCCTTAAACAAAGGCCCGGGGACCGGACCCTCCAAGGTCATTTACCTGGCCCTCGCTCAAGGTCAACCTAAGTCTGAAACAACTTGAAGGCACACAACATTCCTATCTCATCAGCCAAAAGCAGGCCCACACTTTCCATTGAAATACTAATAAGTTTATATTTGTTAAAATTGTTTTTCATTTTAATTATTGTATTGTTTTTAAGTGGGTTTTTTTGCACTACAAATAAGATATGTGCAGTGTGCAAAGGAATTGATTCATGTTGTTTTTTTTCAAATTATAATCCGGCCCTCCAACAGTTTGAGGAACTGTGACCTGGCCTTCTGTTTAAAAAGTTTGAGGACCCCTGCTTTAGACTCTTAGAGAGAGTAGAAGCCATCTGTGTGCCTTTAGAAGTCTGCAAGAACAGTAGAGTTTATAAGATGCCCTGTGTTACCTTCACAGAGAAACTACTTAAAATCCTATTGTAACTGAATTCATAAACAAAGTACCTTTATGATGTATATATGAAGTTTTGTGAGTAAACCAACTATGTTACTTTTTAAAAAGACCGTCTCTTGAGAGCATGATGTAAAGGCAAATATATTTTAAGGGAGAGTAGATGTTTTTTGGGCAACTTCAAGGAACACTTCTGAAACTCTGTTGTATATATTTCCTGTGACTAGTGGTTTCCCCAAAAGATTATGAATCCCATTTCCCAAATGGCTATGGAAATTCACATTTACCAAAATCTAATGTCACCTTGCAAGATGGGTCTAACAATTTGAGTCAAACAGATCTAGCCATCCAGTACCAACACTGTCCCTAGTGGAGTTGCGGAATTATGATAGAGTTGGAAATCTCTACCTGGCAGTAGACGTAGGGAGGGATTGAGTGATCTACTGTTGTAGAAGGATTTCCAGTGGTGCTGGCTAGACAACAGTCTCAGGCCCTGCAATGTCCTGTCTGGGATTGTTCCCAAACACTAATAATAATAATAATAATAATAATAATAATAATAATAATAATAATCTTTATTTATACCCCGCCACCAGCTCAGAGCGGCTTAGATGAGGCCAAACTCGGCAATACATTACAGCAAAATAAAATACAGAACAACAAAAAATAATATCACAATAGAATAAATAAAACATTCAAGTAAAATAAACTGTGCAAAATAACATAACGAAGAATCAAACACAGTGGGTGGGCCAAATGCATGACATAAAATGATAAAACTCTGGATGAGATAGCAGTGGAAAGGTATATTTGTGAGGGAGGAGCTCGTAGGGGACGGAACAGTGGAGTTAGGCCTTCAATAGGATGGGAGGACCTGCTTGTCCCTCACATCTCCTAGTGAATCTTGCCACTGCCTGCTATCTTGGTGCAGCCAGCCCCTAACGTCAGCTTACCTTTTGCCATTTGCCATTGCTATTTCTATGGCTGCTCCCTGCTACCACTTTCCCCACCACTATACCACTTCAAAATAAGGTACTCCATGTTTGAAGCTTCATTATTATTATTATTATTACTTTATGTCCAAAAATGTGAGTGGTAAACCAAGTACATAGACTTTGAGTCTTTGTTGTAGTCAATCCGCTACAGGGGAAAGTCATGTTTGCACCTCTCTTCTAGGACTGGCTCAAAGTCTTCTGCCTTCATAGTAAGAAAGTACACTTCTCCACAAAACCTCAAAGCTAGCCTGAAACAAAAACTATTTGAATTGGCAAACAAACCAGGAAGGCAGCTTGCATACAAATTTAGAAAAGAAAGAGAGAAGAAATCAATATTAAAGATCAGAGAGGGCACGGAATTACTAATATAATATATGTATTTATAGTCCGCTCTATCTCCACGAGGGGACTCAGGGCGGATTATAGAATACATATACGACAAACATTCAATGCCGTTATACAATTAATAAGGACAGACAACACATAAACAGAGGTAGTCTTTCCCAACTTTTTTCAATTTCTGGCATCTGGAGGCTGTGCTCGACTCCGGCCATTTTGGGGGGGGGGTGTTGTCGCTCCATCTTCCATGTTGAGGAGCTTTTCCCTTTGTAAATGTCCTCCCAATCAAATCGCCAGCATGTTCTTATGGGCACCTTTTATTACCTTCCTGCTTAAAGCAGTACTTATTTCTCTACTCACATTGCTGTTTTCGATCTGCTAGGTGAGCAGAAGCTGGGGCTGATGGTGGGAGCTCACCCCGATGACAAATCATTTTATAAAGCATTATGATCCCCAAAATGTTTTGGAAAAATATTTAGAAAAATAAGACCTTCTGATGCTTAAAGATAAAAAAAGGTGGAACTTGTTAAGGCACTTCAAGAAATGAAAATGGGAAAGACACCAGGTCCTGATGGCACAATACTACAAGACCCTACAAGATTACCTATACACACTTTTACTGCAAACTGTTCTTTTTCCCACCCTGGACATTCCACAGATATATAAACCTCACTTGATTAGTTTCCAACAGATCTCACAACCTCTGAGGGTGTCTGCCACAGATGTAGGCAAAATGTCAGGAGAGAATGCTTCTGGAACATGGCCATACAGCCCAGAAAATTCACAGCAACTCAAGGTCTACAATTGTTGCTTATGGGCAAAATTTCAGCCATTAATATTACCTAAGATGCTGTTTTTGTAAAAGTGGCAAAGCTACCTATTTCCCATCCACTTACTCATCTAGACACCAAAAAAGAGATAATGTTGAGCTGCGAACTCAAAATCTCCCATGAATGACTATTCTGACTAGGACTGGCGGGAAGATCAAATTCAACAACACACGGAAAGCTCAACAACTCCATCCCTAGCTTAAATGTACCTCTCGTGTAATACCAGTCTGTTTTGTTAGAAGTATAACATACATCCCTCTTGGGACATCAATCTCTTTCTGTCACATGAACGAAATTGATTTGAATTCCATTTTCTAAGCTGGTCTATTGGTGCAGGGTGTGTGTGTTTTGAAGGATGGCAAAAAAGAGAACTTCATGACTTACTTGAGAAGAAAGATCAAACCTTACTTCCAGCTCCCTTGAGGCCTCTCATGCTGGAGCAAAAGGGGGGGGGGGCAATATGACAGTTAAGGTTCTGGAAGCACCCACACGTTTTGCAGAAAGTATAGCACATTTAGAAAAAACTTTTGAGACTGAATGAATTGAAGCCTGTTTTTATTAACTTCATAGACATAATAAGAACAATTCTTTGGTATACATATAATTTTACCAGTTATCAAAAATGAAAGCCAATTTGCATACTAATAAGGTGGATGTGCTTTTCAATTTTTTACATAAAGAATTAAATCTTGGCTGAATATTTTACAGCAACATTTTTCCACGCTGGAATGCTTGGTTCACAGCCTCAGTGGCAGAACATACTCTGTTGGTTCTCCTGAATTGAGGGACCATAACGGAGTGTTTTCGGGGTCCATATCTCATTTTAAAAGGTCCCAGATTACAGAGTGGGCCAGGTACCTGTAATGGATCCGTACCCACCTCCCTCTTTTCCCCATCAGGGTCTCATAGAATCACAGAAATCTAGAGTTGGAAGAGACCCCAAAGGCCCTCCTGTCTAATCCCATTTCTCTCTGGCAGGAACACCCAGTGAAAGCCCTCTCAACAGAGGGCCATCCAACCTATGCTTAAAAAGTCTCCAAAGAGGGAGCTATCCAAGGACTCATATTTCACAGTTGAACAGTTCTTACTATCAGAAAGTCTTTCCTAATGTTTAGGTGGAATCTAAAAACAAGCTATTGCATTTGCAAGGTTTGCTATAAAGGCAGGTTGACTTTCCAGATGGGCATCTTGCCCTTCAAGGAAGCCCGTAAAGAAGGAAGGTACTAATGCAGTGGTTCTCAACCTGTGGGTCCCGAGATGTTTTGGCCTTCAACTCCCAGAAATCCTAACAGCTGGTAAATTTACTGGGATTTCTGGGATTTGTAAGCCAAAATACCTGGGGACCCACAGGTTGAGAACCACTGTACTAATCGACATACAGGGAGCATACCACCCCCCTGCTATGCCAGCTCCACTGGCTGCTGGTTCATCTCTGAGCCCAATTCAAAGTGCCGGTTTTGACCTATAAAGCTCTATATCAGTGGTTCTCAACCTGTGGGTCCCCAGGTGTTTTGGCCTACAACTCCCAGAGATCCCAGCCAGTTTACTAGCCGTTAGGATTTCTGGGAGTTGAAGGCCAAAACATGTGGGGACCCACAGGTTGAGAACCACTGCTCTATATGGTTCTGCCACAACTCACTTGTCTGAACACATCCAGACCTACATCCCACCTTGTAATCTAAGATCATCTGGGGAGGCCGTGCTCTTGCTCCCGTCAACAGCACAAATGCATCTGGTGGGGACAGGAGACAGGGCCTTCTCGGCGTTGGCCCCCCACCTATGGGACACACTCCCAAATGAGGTAAGATCCGTTCCCTCCCTCCTGGCTTTTAGAAAAAAAATTAAAGTCATGGTTCTGGGACCAGGCCTTCGGACAGTAGATGTATGTAGCATTTCAGAGGGACATTGACTGGAATGGCGATTCAACTGACGAGACTTTTTTATTGTTTTAATGCTTGTTGATGTATTGTTTTAATTGTGATTTATGTTCAATTGTGGTTTTACTATTGTAATTGCTTGTATTGGCATCGTATCGGTGCCTGACTTAAGGCATTGAATCTTGCCATTATTTATGTGTAAACCGCTTTGAGTCCCCCCAGAGGTGTGAAAGGTGGTATATATATATACTGTAAATAAATAATAATAAATAAATAATGTCATGGAGGAGGGGTGGGTAGAGCCCTGCCAAAACTTTGCACATTCCTCCTTGAGCTCTCAGCTCTTTGCTTCCAGACACACCGGATCCCCCCTTCCAGCTCCCTATCCTCCTCTCCCGTGTTGCTTCGTCTCCAATTGATTCTTCCTCCCCATCACTTTCCCACCCCATCTCCTTTTCACTTAGTGGAGGGGGTTGAGGGAGTCTCCCTTGCTTGGCTACCTGGTGAGCTGGCTGCTTGGTTCTCCACCATTTTGCTTGCATGCCTCTGGGTCTTTATAGAAGGAAAAGCAACAGCAGCAGTGATGGGGGAGCAACAGGAGGCGCCAGTAGTGATCCATATATTTAGTTACAGGACCCCAAATAGGGCCAGGCCCCTGGATTTAAGAGGCTTTCCTATATAGTACTTGCTCATTTTTTTATTTCTCATATCCAACCTCAAAATAACAGAACAGCCATTTGTTGTGTTCCGAAAGAGAATGCAAGAAAACCAGCAAAGGCCACTTTGACTGTTATGACAAGACAGTGAAACAAAAAACTAAATATAATTCAAAAATATATTTTCCTAAATGCCACAGTAGGCATAACAGCAGCATATTTGGCCCTAGCACACACTAAGCCCCTACCCATGCTTCACAAAACCATAATTATGGCCCTTTACTCGTCACCAGCAAACTAAACTAAAGCAAAGTTGAAATACACAGAGCTGTCTTTGTGCACGTTGCCTCTTTCTCTCTTTTTGTTGCCTCGCTCACTGTTGCCAACTAGACGCTCCATGGAGGCAGTTTCTTGCAAAGCACCATAGATGCCATTAGCATAGAATTAAAGAGACTATATGAACAACAATCAGGACATACAACATGATCCATCTGGAACAGATAACAACTCCTAGGGTGAAGACTCTTAAATGAAATCTCCTAAGAAATGATTACATTTTGTGCAATAGTGAAAAGTGTTCATCAACATTCAGCTCAGATTTGGCAAATAGATAGAACAGACCAACATGTTTTGTCCAAAAATTGGAAAGTGCCTAACTGATTCCCAACTGTCTGTGAATATATTATACTTAAGAAAAACCCGGTGCTCCAAGCTTGTGAACAAAGTGACATCTCTAGTCAATATATAAATCCCATCATTGTGCAAAGTGCAAGTCAAATTAAGACCCGATTTTGATGTATTTTCTTTGAGGTAGAGCCATTCTCGAGTGGTAATATTATAGGACTGGACAGTTAACATGTCCTCATTCTGGTTAGATTTTTTCTCTGATCCCAGTTCATGGATGCATCCTCCAACAATGTAGATAGTGTCCTCCAGAGAGAGCATCTGCTGCTTGCGGATGTGGATATCACACTGTTCAAAGTTAGTCCAGATGTCAGAGATGGGACAGTACTGTAAGATATTCAAATTCCGGCCTGCAAGAAAGAGAACATGTGTAATTCAGAGAATTGCATTCAACTTCTTTGTATAGTGAAAAGTGTCCATCTGTAACCAACTTCTTGGTTACAAACAGTTTCACAAAAATGTAAACAAACATGAGGTTTTTCTCTCCCATTATCACATCTAATTATTGTGTAAGAATAAGCAAACAAAACACACACACACACACACAACACAAGCTTCTATAAAGCCCTAAACGGTTCTGGCCCAAGTTACCTATCCGATCGCATCTCCACCTACGAACCCACTAGGACTTTGAGATCTTCCGGGGAGGCCCTGCTCTCGATCCCGCCTGCAACACAGGCGCGGCTGGCGGGGACGAGAGACAGGGCCTTCTCGGTGGTGGCCCCTCGGCTGTGGAACGCCCTTCCCAAGGACATCAGATTGGCCCCCTCATTGATGGTATTCCGGAGGAAAGTGAAAACCTGGTTATTTGAACAGGCGTTTGAATAAGCAGTGCAATGAATTTCAGGAAATGGAACTACGACTGACGAGTTTGGATCATGATTCTAGTTATGAGACGCCACTGAATGTTTATTACTGTTAAATTGTTTAATTTGTTTCTGTGTTAACTGTTTTTAAGTACCTTGTTGATGCCGCATTGAATTTTTGCCTTGATTGTTCGCTTTGTTTTTGCTTGTTGTAAACAGCTATGAGTCGCCTTAGGGCTGAGAATGGCGGTATACAAATGAAGTAAGTAAGTAAATAAATAAATAATTATCCAAGACTAGCCGTCCCCTGCCACGCGTTGCTGTGGCCCAGTCTGTGTATATGTGTATATGTGTGTGTATATATTTGTGTATATGTGTATATATGTGTTTGCGCATATATGTGTGTGTATATATATGTGTGTGGTTTTGCACATGCACTGTAATATATATTTTTATTTTTTGGCTTTTTAAGTCTCTTCTGCTGTGTTTTTCAGTGTTTTTATCAGTATTGGTCACTTGTTGGCCTGATAGGTGTTTTGTTTCCAAATTGGGTGTCAATTCGCCCAGCGGTCTTTGAGTTATGTTAATCCCACAAATCAACATTACACTTTTATTTATATAGAATACTAGCTGTCCCCTGCCATGCATTGCTGTGGCCCACATGGGGGTTATCTGTGGGAGGTTTGGACCAACGCTAATAAATTCCAGTGTAAACTGTTTTCCTTCAGCCTTGACGCCTGTGTTAAAGTCATAAACTGATTTTTTAAAAGCAGTTCCTGACTAGTCCCCATCTCACCTCTAATAGTGTAGCCTCCCATGACGGAGATCTTGTCCTTGCACTCACAGGCTGAGAACTCCACAAGCGGAGTTGGCATGGATGCCACAAATCAACATTACATTTTTATTTATATAGAATACTAGCTGTCCCCTGCCATGCATTGCTGTGGCTCACATGGGGGTTATGTGTGGGAGGTTTGGCCCAATTCTATCGTTGGTGGGGTTCAGAATGCTCTGTGATTGTAGGTGAACTATAAATCCCAGCAACTACAACTCCCAAATGTCAAGATTCTATTTTCCCCCAAACTCCACCAGTGTTCACATTTGGGTATATTGAGTATTCTTGTAGAGTTTGGTCCAGATCCATCATTGTTTGAGTCCACAGTCATCTTTGGATGTAGGTGAACTACAACTCCAAAACCAAAGGACACTGCCCACCAAACCCTTCCAGTATTTTCTGTTGATCATGGGAGAACTGCGTGCCAAATTTGGTTCAATTCCATCGTTGGTGGGGTTCAGAATGTTCTTTGATTGTAGGTGAACTATAAATCCCAGCAACTACAACTCCCAAATGAAAAAAACATTTTTTGTTAGTGAAGGACATACATTGGGTTCTTAGGTGTCTTGTGTCCAAATTTGGTGTCAATTCCCCAAGTGGGAACATTACATTTTTATTTATATAGATGTTTATTATTTAAGCTAGAAAAGAAAAGGATCTGTTAAATAAGGTTTGGTATTTTACCTTAGGGGCATTTGAATAATGGCATATGCCCTTCCACCATTGCATACCCCTGGGAGGGAGAATATTCTATTAGATCTGTACTTGCTTTCTTTTTTTTTTCTAACCAACTATTATCGGTAAAGGAGTTCCATCTTCCTTTAAATGTTGTTTCCCATTTAAATCAAGTATTTTCAATAAATTTACTATATTTATTTTCGCCATCGAAGGGTGAAACATACCAGCTTGTACATCTACCTTCCATAAGAGATTACTTGTTATAAATCAGGGAGTCTGAAGAACAATTTGTCCATGAGAGTCCTTTCTTGTTTCATTCAACATATTTCAATATAGGCTCGAGACCAAGCCTCCTGACTGCTGCTGCTTCTCCTCCTCCTCCTCCTCCTCCTGAGCGAAGAAGCCATTGCATATGGCGCCTGGAAGCGGGGGCTACTGGGTGTCTTTGTTTTTAGGCCTGTTCCTGGGGTTATTTGGGGTACTGATTCAGAAAATTGCATTGCATAGACCATATGAGCTCTAGATCAGGGGTCCTCAATCTTTTCAAACAGAGGGCCAGGTCACAGACCCTCAAACTGTTGGAGGGCCGGATTATAATTTGAAAAAAAATGAATGAATTCCTATGCACACTGTACATATCATATTTGTAGTGCCAAAAACTTAAAAACAATACAATAATTAAAATGAAGAACAATTTCAACAAATATAAAATTATTCGTATTTCAATGGGAAGTGTGGGCCTACTTTTGGCTGATGAGATAGGATTGTTGTTGTTGTGTGCTTTCAAGTCATTTCAGACTTAGTTGGACCCTGAGCGAGGGCCGGCTAAATGACCTTGGAGGGCCGCATTCAGGCCACAGGCCTTAGTTTGAGGACCCCTGCTCTAGATTATTAAATGTGGTTTTCTGAGGGCAAGGAGATGGCAACTACTGGATGGCATATGTTCTGTATCAGAAACTAGAGTTGATGTGGTCTATCCAATGCAATTTTCTGAATCAGCACCCCAAATAACCAAACCAAATCTAAAGTTGACAAAAAACTTATTTGTAACCATTTTGGTACTAATGTTGGAGTAGTCCCTGGTCAAAGTGGTCCCTGGTAATTAAGAAAAAAGGTTGGAAACCACTTTTATAGGTTCATTTAATGCCATTACTTCATGCCTTGTCAGATCCATAATCAAGGTGGGAGAAGAGAAGCTTTACAACTTTCTAGCATATGTTTACTGTTTGGTTTGTGTTGATGGCGTCACAATAATTACACGATATTAGCAATGCTAATAAATTCCAGTGTAAACTGTTTTCATTCAGCCTTGATGCCTGTGTTAAAGTCATAAACTGTTTTTTTAAAAGCAGTTCCTTCCTAGTCCCCATCTCACCTCTGGTAGTGTAGCCTCCCATGACGTAGATCTTGTCCTTGCACTCACAGGCTGAGAACTCCACAAGCGGGGTTGGCAATGATGCCACGAAGTTCCACCAGTCATGTTCTGGGTCGTAACATTCAACGCTGGAGAGGGACTGCCCACCAATGGCATACAGTTTCCCACTCACGGCCAAGAGTTTGAAATTAGATCTACAGATAAAGAGATTTTGAGAGTTGAAGTCAAGAGCAATAATAAATCACTAACAAGAAAATTCAATTAAAAACGAACAACTGACCAACAAAAATATCATCTGCACATTTATATAGGAAAAATATTACTCCTAATGAAAGGCTGAAGTTTTATATATAGATCATGGGGCCTTATCGCTACATAACTGAAAATTATATGTAGTTCTTTTGTAGTTCGGCAGAAGTATGATACCCCTGATCACGTAGTCTTTTAACTTAATTCAGTGTGGGGTGTGTGGAAAAGTCTGAAAGTAACTACTAAAGGTACTAAAGAAGCAATTGGGAAATGTGATAAAATAAAGAAAGTGAAGCATTGACCAAGATTATATATCTATATATGAGCAAAACATGCAAAGTGGGTTGCTGTGAGTTTTCCGGGCTGTATGGCCATGTTCCAGAAGTATTCCCTCCTGACGTTTTGCCCACATCTATGGCAAGCATCTTCAGAAGTTGTGAAAAGTAGTTTTCATCCTTTTATCAGTGACTTGAATACAATTATTGAGAGAATTATGGAAAAGCTTTCCAAAGGTAGTGAAGCAGAATTCAGCAGAGACATGTACAAAACAATAACAGGAAAATTAAATGATTGTACACATACAGGATGGGGAATATTTGTTTTAACAATAGTAAATATGAAAAGAATTTTCTGATTGCAGAGTGACAAAAAGATAAACACGATACGCAGTAGTTTGGCCTCAGAAGAAGGCAATAAAGATGCCCAATAATCTAGTGTTGAATGAAGGTACTGGAACATGTTTGTCTTAGAGGAGACAAACTGAGAGGTGTCACAATTATACTTGCAAAATATAGTTGTAAAATATCGCCACACAGGAGAGGGCAAAGAATTCTCTGTTGGCTTACAATAGGAAAGTAAATTCCACTGTATGTCTGCAGAAACTTAGTGGTGGTAAGCAATTTTATCTTTCTGTACCATAATCCCAACGATCTGGATGCGGGAGAACAAATTGAAATTGAATCCAGACAAGTCATAAGGTAATAAAGAGTATAGGGTTACAGCCTGTGCTGGACAAGGTTACAATCCCCCTAAAGACAAAGGTTTTCAGCTTGGGAATTCTCTTGGATTCATCATTGAACTGGAACCCCATGTCTCAATAGTGGTCCGGGGAGCTTTCACACAAATAAAACTTGTGCACCAGTTACACCCATACCTTGGGAAGTCAGACCATGGTAGACCACACTCTGGTTACATCCCGAATAGACTACTGCAATACATTCTATGTGGGGTTGCTTTTGAAAACTGTTTGGAAGTCCCAAGTGGTCCAGTGGGTGGTAACCAGATTCCACACTGGAGTGGCGTACAGAGAGAGGACATCCCTCCTGTTGCATCAGCTCCACTGGCTGCCAGTCTGCTACTGGGCACAATTTAAAGTGCTGGCTTTAGCCTATGAAGCCCTAAACCAGGGGTCCTCAAACTAAGGCCTGAGGGCCGGATACGGCCCTCCAAGGTCATTTACCCAGCCCTCGCTCAGGGTCAACCTGAGTCTGAAACGACTTGAAAGCACACAACAACAACAACAACAACAATCCTATCTCATCAGCCAAAAGCAGGCCCACACTTCCCACTGAAATACTAATAAGTTTATATTTGTTAAAATTGTTCTTCATTTTAATTATTTTATTGTTTTTAATTGGGGTTTTTTTGTACTACAAATAAGATATGTGCAGTGGAATTCATTCATTTTTTTCAAATTATAATCCGACCCTCCAGCAGTTTGAAGAACTGTGACCTGGCCCTCTGTTTAAAAGGTTTGAGGACCCCTGCCCTAAACGGTTCTGGCCCAGCTTACCTGTCCGAAAGCATCTCCCTCTTTTAACCACCTCATAGGTTAAGATATTCTGGGGAGGACCTGCTCTCGGTCCTACCTCCTTCACAGCTGCAGTTGATGGGTATGAGGGACAGGGCTTTCTCAGTGGTTGCCCCTCAGCTGTGGAACTCCCTCCTCAGTGAAGTCAGATCAATTCCCTCCTTCCTGACTTTTAGAAGGAAATTAAAAATGTGGAAGTGGGACCAAGCCTTTGAACAATAACTCAGTGCAATAAGTAGGTATGGAATAAGTGCAATTTTGGTCCAGATCCATCATTGTTTGAGTCCACAGTGCTCTCTGGATGTAGCTGAACTGCAACTCCCAAACTCAAGGTCAATGCCCACCAAACCCTTCCAGTGTGTTCTGTTGGTCATGGAAGTCCTGTATGCCATGTTTGGTCCAATTCTGTCATTGGTGGAGTTCAGAATGCTCTTTGATTGTAGGTGAACTATAACTCCCAGCAACTACAACTCCCAAATGTCAAGGTCTATCCCAAACTCCATCTGTGTTCATATTTGGGCATATGGAATATTCGTGCCAAGTTTGGTCCAGATCCATCATTCCCAAACTCAAGGTCAATGTCCACCAAACCCTTCCAGTTTTTTCTGTTGGTCATGGGAGTTCTGTGTACTAAGTTTGGCCCAATTCCATCATTGGTGGAGTTCAGAATGCTCTTTGATTGTAGGTAAACTATAAATCCCAGCAACAACAATTCCCAAATGACAAAATCATTTTTTTTAAGTGAAGGACATACATTTGGGTTGTTAGGTGTCTTGTGGCCAAATTTGGTGTCAATTCCCCCAGTGGTTTTTGAGTTCTGATGGTATCACAAACGAACATTACATTTTTATGTATATAGATAGAAGATAGAAGAAGAATAAGATAGAAGATGGTCACTTGTTGGCCTGATAGGTGTTTTGTGTCCAAATTTGGTGGCAATACGTCCAGTGGTTTTTGAGTTCTGTTAATCCCACAAACGAACATTACATTTTTATTTATATAGATAGAAGATAGAAGATAGAAGATGGTCACTCGTTGGTCTGAGATGTGTATTGTGTCCGAATTTGGTGCCAATTCGGCCTGTGGTTTTTGAGTTCTGTTAATCCCACAAACGAACATTACATTTTTATTTAGATAGATAGATAGATACAGGCATGTAGCCAGGATTTTGTTTCGGGGAGGGGGGCTGAATTTTTTTCAGGGGGGGTTTCGGGGGGGGCTGAGTTTTGGGGGGGGGCTGAGTCTGAGTGAAAGAGGGTCTAGCCTAGCAAACCTTTTGTATCATTACCCCAATACCCCCATGCATATGGGATATATTGAGTATGGTGATCAGATCATGCCATTATGCGAAGTAAGCGGTCGCAGAACACTTTTTTTGCCAGGGGCGCAGAGGCGCCTCTGTAAATGCCCCTCAACCGCCACTTGAGGAGCACCCCCTCAGCTCACAACAGCCCTAGCAGTCCGGGGGGAGCCTCGGCTTTCTTGCCTCGCTGCCGGGTGATCCTCTTCCCAAAGGGGCCGGGCCCTTGAGCCTCGCCTAGCCCCTCTCGTTCCTGCTCCACCCGGCCACCGGGTGCGCGAGCAGAGCCGGCGCTCAATCGTTCTCCAAGTTCGCTCCCTTCCACATGACCAGCTCCCTTTCCCGATCCCCCGGCGCTTCACCCGCCTCCTCTCCTCTCCCCAATCCGGTGGGCCAAGGGGCGGAGCCGCCGCGCCTGGCCCGCTTCGGGTCCGGAGGCATGTCTGAAGACCCCAGCGTACGCACCAAAAGTCGCCTCTTCTCCTGACTTTCTCTTCAGCCATTGGGACCAAGAGAGAGAGAGAGAGCCCCTCCGGCTGGAGGTATCTCCCACCTCTGCTCCCTCCTTTGTTTTTCAGGAAAGGTGGGCATCTCCACCTCTGTCTCTCTCTCTCTCTCTTGGTCCCAATGGCTGAGGAGAAAGTCAGGAGAAGAGGTGACTTTTGGTGCACACACGGGGTCTTCAGGCACGCCTCCGGACCCAAAGCGGGCCAGGCAAGGGAGCAAGTGCGGCAAGTGTAGTTACTGGGATGTATAGTTCACCTACAATCAAAGAGCATTCTGAACTCCACCAATGATGGAATTGAAACAAATATGGCACACAGAACTCCCACGACGAACAGAAAATATATATCAATAATTGGTTGGGGGGGGGGTGCCAAAATACTGTTTGCTTACATTTGAAAATTACCTAGGGCCGCCTCTGTTTAGGGTGATCAGATCATGATATGAATAAACATAACAGTTTAAATAATGCACCAGTAAGGCCTTTTTGCGAACCACCATGAGAATTTTGGGGGGGGGGCTGAAGCCCCTCAAGCCCCCCCCCCCCCCCGCTACATTCCTGCGGACAGATAGATAGATACAGATAGATACAGATAGATAGATAGATAGATAGATAGATAGATAGATAGATAGATAGAGAAGATGATTCATACCATTAGCAACATTACAGTTGTGAAGTAGCAAGGAAAATAATGTGATGGTTGGGGGCCACCACCACCTGAGGGCCTGTATGTAGGGGTGGAGGCATTGGGGAGAGTGGAGAAGGAGGCGTTACCTCTTCTGGTTCATGGAGGCCACGGGGCTCCACTCGTGGAGGCTGGGGTTGTAGCAGTGGGCGGCGGCGATCTCCTGGCTGGCGGTGAGGCGGTACCCTCCGGCCAGGAAGAGGTAGTTGTCCAGCAGGGCGGCGCCATACCCGCGCACATTGCCCAGCGCAGCGGGGAGGGTCCCGGGAAGAGGCAGCCAGCGCCGGGCGCTCTCATCGTAGCGCAGCGCGGAGCAGAGCGAGGCCTCCTCGGGGTTCGGACTGGCGTGGCTTTGTCCGGCGAAGCGTCCCAGGGCGATCAAAGCAGGAGTCGCTCCCGCCAGGCGCCTCTCCCGGAGCTGCTGCTGCAAGGCGCTGGGCAAAAGTTCCGCGCGGCGGAGGAGGGCGTGGAATCGGGCCGCCATGAAGGCCAGCGCCGCCTCTCTCAGCTCGCGCAGGCCGTAGTGCTGGGCCAGGCGGAGGAGGCGCAGGCAGTTGGGCACGCGCAGCCCGGAGGCCAGCAGGCGCAGCAGCGGCGTGACTTGCAAGTAGCAGGCGGCTTCCACGAGCTCCTCCAGCGCAAGGGAGCCCCCCTCCTCGCCTCCCTCCTCCTCCTCTTCTCCACTGAGAGGCATCCGTCCGCAGTGGATGAAGTCGAGGACCAGCTCCAGGCCGCGCGCGCTCAGCCCTCCGCGCAGGCGCAGCCCCGCCGCCGCCGCCTCCCGCATCCCCGAGCGGAAGAGCGCCCCGAAGAAGTCGCTCTGCTCCAGCAAAAGGCGCTTCCTCGCCGGGAAGCGACGCTCGCCCAGGCGGATCTCCACCATCTCGTCCCCCGGTGCCTCACACAGCCCCGAGCCGGACATCATCTTTGCCGCCCGCCGGAAGGGGAGGGACCCGCACTTCCCCGGTGGAGAAAGACAGAAAGAAGCCCAAAGAAGGGCAACGCCGCTCCGCTCCTCCCCCGGGAAAGCGGGCTCTGCCCGGGCAGGACAACACCCGCCTCGTCCCCAGCTGCCCTGCTCAGCTCTGGCACTCCGGGCAGCCCTGGCCCCGCAATAGGAGGATTGCTGGGTCCGGAAGCTCCGAGCGCTACGGAGGGGACGCATCGCCCCTTTGGGAGCGCAGTTTGCGCAAGAGAGACTTAGCTAATGCAAGCCAGGCCTGAGACAGATCATATAGAAGGCATGTAAGAGTTCTTTAATGGGGAAACCCTTTCCCTAACCCTGAACCGTACCGTAAGCCTAAGCCTAACCCTAACCCCTTACCCAAACCCTAAACCTTACTCTAACCCATACAATTACCCTAACCAATACCATAATACCCCTTACCCAAACCCTAACCTTTACACCAGCCCAAACCCTAAACCTTACCCAAACCCTTACCCGAGCCCAATTCAAGGTGCAGGTGCTCACCTACAAAGCCCTGAACGGTTTGGGACCACCCTACCTGCGTG